GAACTGCACGGTTTCGACAGCACGGGTCCACTTCTACGAGGATTTTTTATAATGAATACACAGCCTTCCATACCCGTGGGTTTCGCATCCGTGGAGTCAACCAACTGCGGATCGAAAACAGTGCTTTCGGTCTGTGGCTGGGAACCGTGGACTGCGTGCGCTGTCCCACGCCATTCTACAGAAGGGACTGGAGCGCCGGCGGGTCCGGGGTCGGGGGGTCCTGGGACCGGCCCCTGCAGGCACAGGGGACGACCAGCCGCAGCCCGCGTCCTTGCCCATTGCCTCCGGAGCGCACCGGTGTCCCAAACTCCGTCTTTTAAGATGCATTTCTTTTCTGGCTGGTAAAATCTCTCCCTTCCGCCCCATTCTGTATGTTGGGAAACCGCGTAATATTTCATTAGGACAAAAGGGGGTGGTGGCGGGTCCACATGCACCTCGTGATGCTCCCCCCAGTTCTGACTCTGAGCCGAGTGAGTCTGATTTATGGAATTCAAGCCCTTGGCCTCAGACGGCCTCCTTGGGACTGTGAGGAACCGGCTTTCGGCTCTGGGACGCCTCTGGAGGAGGCTTCGTGGTTTGGAGCCAGGAGCTGGATCCGGCGTCCTGTGGGAAGACCCGGGCAGCGCCCCGCCCTGGTCCTTGGAGGAGGGGAGGGAGAGGAGGGACAACGTGTCAGGAAGGCAGAGGCCCTGGGGGCCAGAGTCCGGCCGGGGAAACCGCTGACTGCGCTTTAAATCAGCCAGGCAGGCTGGACGGGCCATGTTCGCGGGGAGCCGCACTCTGCCGGGCCTCGCCAAGTTCCCGGGGCCGGCTGGCTGCTTTTCTTCCCTTTTTTCTCATCTGTGACATCTGCTCGGAGCTTGTCCCTCCTGTGATACGTACCCCTCGCAGCTGTGCAGACCTCCGGCTCCGCGCTGGTGCGCGGGGCGCCCTGAGCATACGGCCTTTTTGATGTGTGATAAAACAGAGCCCAGCCACGGGGGTATGGCGAGCGGCGGCACCGGAATAGCAATTAACCTGCTCGGAACAAAGCTGCAGCTTCAGAGCGGAGCAGACGTTTCGCCGGAGTGTCAGCAAGATGGATAATGTATTCTAATTAGGGATTGACTGATACCTCCGCACCGGCCACTCCTGGAAGTCTGACCCTCCTCACGGCGACCCTCACGGGGGCGAGGGCCCGTCGGGGGCAGGGGCTGGATGCTACTTACTGATTTATGACTTCGTGCTTTGCCAGACACTGCAGCCATGAACTTGCCCTCAGCCAGAATCGCTGTTTCCCCTGCAAGTGCAGTCCGTTTGCAGCTGGGCAGGTGCACAGAGCCGCTGTCAACGCAGGAGCTTCGGGAGAGACCCCGAGCGCCAAGCCTGAGGCTCCCATTTGGAGGACACCCCAAGACCCACACTTCCTGGTGCAGAGGCCTGGGTCTCTGTGCCCCTGCTTTCCAGGTGGACGTGGTGGGCCTAGTCGGGCCAGCACGGTGATGAAGGGGCTCCATGGCTGCCTCCTCCATAGAGTGTGGGGCTGCCCTCAGTGGTCTCTCGGGAACCTGGGTGATCGGACCATCCCTCCGAGTTGCGAAGAGCGGAGTGGAGAGCTGGTGGCCTGGAAGTCACTGCAGAGCTACTCCCCGGCCACACACCTTCTTTAAATTTCGCATTCGCACCAGTGAGGCCGGGCTAATTAGGGAAGCGCGCCTCATTGGCCGCGCTTGCTGGGTAATTGGAAGGCCCACTTCCTCCAGTGAGAAGTCAGTGGGCGCTGTTCCCCGAATAGTTCTCAGAGCTTCCGGCCACATCCTGACACCAGCTGCAGGCTCACGGGCGAGGGGATAATGACTGCTTGGCAGTGTGGATTAAAAGCCGGGTCTTGCTCAGTGCCGAGCGAGGCCTGGTTCCAGCCTTCCTCCATGATCAAAAGGCGACTCGACACACCAGCACCAGCCTTGTCCGAGAAGAAGCAATCGCTGGGCGCCCAGCCCCCTCCCCTGCAACCAGGGAAGACGAGGGGTCTGAGCATCTCTGAGTTCAGAGGAGCACGGGCGCGGGGCCCCCGGGCGGCACGTCCCTGGCTCCTGGGCGGCACTCACCTCCACAGACGCTCCTTTTAAGAGCCGCAGCCCAGCGCCTGGCTGGGCTATAACAAGGACTTGAGGGAGCAAAAGGCTGTTAAATTTCCTTTTTCTTGCTCTTCTGCTCGTTAGTTTAGAACCAGGGGTTCCGTAGCTGCGCGTTTTCCTGCATCATTTAAGAACTTAATGAAAGTGGGGCCCGATTTTTCCGACACTCTTTACTCTGTAAATTTGTTTAGCTCTATTTTTTTTTTTTTTTTTAGCTGTCAGTTGAGGCTGTCGGAACCTAAATATTTTAATGTTGAAGAAATACAGGCTCTTATTTTGTTTGTTTTTTTGAGAGAGACATTTCTTGTCCTCACCCACAGGGTGTTTGTAAATCAGATGTTATGGGTTATGAGTGACCTTGAGTCTGAGTTCACCCCTATCGGTCCATCCTCTGACCTTAAAGCAGCCAAGTTGCCATAATGACCAAGGGGGAGGGGTCTGCGGCGAGGGGGTGTCCCCTTCCAAGAGCCAGTGTCAAAACCTCGGCCTCCACCAGATACTCCCTCTCTGCAGCAGGAGGCCTGAAGGGGTGTGTGGCTTTCTTGCACAATTTCAAAGCTCACGGTACTTAATTTATCCAGATATCAGGTTGAAAGCATTAAACGGTGTGTAACTTGACTCACGAGACTTGAAAGGACTTTAGAAATTGTTTCGTATACACATTGCTGAGGGACATAAAAAATAAGCAAATGAGAAGATAAGGCGTTGACTTGATATTGTAAAAATGTCCAAGTTTCATAAATTAATCTATATATTTAATGTTATTCCAAAAATCCTAATAGGATTTCTATTTCGGAACTTGACAAAACGTTTTTGCAGCCTACCCGGAAGACCAATTTAAAAAATAAAGACAAAGAAGGGAGCCCGTCCCACTAGATGTAACAATAAATTACAAAATAACAGTGATTACAATGGGCCAAGGATGATCTAAGAGTCTACAGGCAGAAAGAGGCCAGAGCCAACAGCAGATCAGCATTTAGACTGTGATTAAAGGTGCTATTCAGAGGGGAATGCAGAAGCTGTTTCCTAGGTGAGGTCGGGATAGTCAGCGAGCCTCAAGGAAACAAATTAGGTCACAGCCTCACATCATTTTCAGAATAAAATGTGGCTCCATTAAATATTTAAACGTAAAGATCAAAACCTTAAGCGAACACGATTTGAGTGCAGGTGAATATTGATCAGCTTTTGCAGTGGGAAAGGCTCTTTTGCACATCCACGCGACGCCAGAATCCAAGAGGAAAATGCTGATTGATTTGGTCGAAAAACAGGTGTTTTGAACACCTGTGTTCAAAACAGCACCATATATAAAATTAAAAGGCAAAGACAGACTGCAGAAGATATCGGCAGCATTGTCTGCCTCAAAGGGTCTGTGGTAGTGTCTGCCAAAATGGGTTAACGTTTTTAATATGTAAAGAGTTCTTGTAAATAAATAAAAGGATGAGACCCCGAGGGGATAGTGAAGGGATGGCATGAATAGACGTTTTGAAAAAGAAAAAAATTCAAATAGCCAATAAACATATGGAAAAGAAAGCTCAAATCTCATTAACGATCAAAGAAATGTAAATTACAGCAGCAATGCGCTAATCTGTTTTAACGGACAGATTTTTCCCCAAGGTAATGCCTGATGTTGACGGAGATGCAGAAACAAAACGGGTTGGGTTGGTGAAGCAGCCGGGCAGTTTTGCAGTGATGTGGCAAATTGTAGCGATGTGGCAAATTATAGCAAAAGTCTAAAAGAAGGTATCAGCTTTCAGAAGTTTGTCTTGAGGATGGATATTCTGTGTGTGTTGAGATGTACGTATAGCATGTTTTTTAAAATAATAGTGAAAAACTGGAGTGAAACTAAATAAGAAACAATATGGGGTTTGTTAACATTTGGCAGGCCAATTCACACAGTGCCAGGCAGCTGTGAAAATTTCCAGGAGAGGAGCAGACATGAGACAAATGTTCATGAAATGTTTTTGCTATAGGAAAAAAACAGACTGTACGAAATATTGTGTATGGTATATTCCTTTTTTCTCCAGGAAAAGAGATGTCTGCATGCAAAGCCTGGAAGATCACCAACATGTTAATGGTGGCTAGTTTGGGTCGGTGGTGTCATGAGCGACATGCATCAGTATTTCGACTTGCTTCATTATTTAAACTTTTCAGTGTTTTCCGCATGGTGTACAAAGATCGTGTATTACTTTCACAATCAGACTCAAAGAGTTAAAAAACAAGTCTTCTAAGCCAGTTCCCAAGCTGTCCCCAGAAGGGGCTGAGGCCTGAGGGATGTCAGCCCTGTAACAAGTTCACCCCAGAACAGACACTTGAACTCAGATCTCTTACTGCTGAGTCAGGGCTTGTTCTTGAGAACAGCGGGGTTTTGTTTTGACCTTGGCGGTTCCTTGTCCGAGGAGCTCCATACCTGAGAAACTGCCTTTAGGAAATAAACAACTCCATCTGTGGGAAGTGCCCTGTGCACGGTGATGTTCATCCCTGCGTGATTCACGATGGTGAAAACTATTAGCGACTGATGCGTTAAGTCATGGGGCGTGGTTAAGCGGCCATAGCTCGCTCGCTTGGTGAGGCATTGTTTAGCCATTAAAATGCTGGCAATGAAGAGTTGTGCCAATGTGAAAACGTGCTGTGGTGGCTGCAACGTCTGATGGAAAAAATCGGGACAGAAAATGCATATGTGATGATCGTGATCATAAACGTAAAATTTGGAAGAGAATAGGATAATTTGAGACTAGTTGTTAGGTTGGGGGATGGGGCTATCGAAAACATTTCTTTTGTCTTAAAAGTTCTAGTTCTTCTATAAAGCTATTATATTCTTTTATTAATTCCAAAAAATCTCAAGAAATAGATATAGCTGAACACCTTTCCAAACTCTCTGCGTAGGGCTGGATCCTGGATGGCATCCCTGAAACTCGGGAGCAGGTTCTGATGATCCAGGCCCTCGGGATCACCCCCAGACACGTCAGTGAGTACCCCCCGTGGGGCCCTCCCTGCAGAGCCACAGTCTCCGGGCCGGAGGAAGCGCCCTGCTCTGTGTCCAGCTCCCCACTGCCCACGCTCAGCCCAGGCAACCCCCAGGGGAAACGGAGGACAGTGCAGTTGAATTTTTCAGAGCTAAATGCGCTTGGGCCTCATTCTTAGAAAAGTGGGGTTTTGTTTTGACCCAGGGGGTTCCTTGTTCCAGGAATCCCACATGAGAGGAACTGTCTTTAGGAAATAATCTAAAATGTGGAAAAAGCATCTTGCACAAAGATGTTCCCCATGGAGTTGTTTATGACGGCGAAAATCGCTGGCGCTGGAAATGGTCAAGGGTGCGCTGTCCTTGGTGCTGAGCTTGTGTTTCCGGGCTGAGAAGGCCTCAGGGATGGCAGGTGGCGGTGGTTTTAATGTCATCATACAGCGAGAGACCCGTCCACGTCCACGGGATCCAAATGTCCGGGACGAATGCCCAGCGTGCCTGCTTTTCCTTCTCTCCTTCCTGCCCAGTCGTGCTCAGTGCTCCAGACACCGTCTTGATCGAGAGAAACCTGGGGAAGAGAGTCGACCCTCACACTGGAGGTACGGCCACCTCCCCGCCACCCCCACCCCACGGCGTCTCTGAGACCCCTAACAAGAGCCCCACTCGCCCCGCGCTGAGCACCTGCCCTCTGCCCTCCGGCTTCGGCGGCAGGCAGACACGGGCTTCGGGGCCGGCTCCGCCGCTCTCCAGCTGTGGGGCGTGGGTCAGGATGCCCAGCGTGGCTGAGACTCCGTGTTCTCATCTGTACATGGGATGACAACACTGAGACCCACCTGACCGTGGTGCGACCGCTGTGCGGATGCAGCGGGAGCCTCGGGTGGGTGCCCGTCGGCGTCCTGGCACGGTTGCCCTGAGCACCGCCACCATCTGGGTGTCGTCAGCAGCGCTGTAAGAGCAGGTCCAGAGCCAGGCCGCGGACCGCACCGCCCGGGCGGGTCAATGCCCCTGGCTGTCAGGCTCGGGCCCCAAGGACCACTCGCCCCCGGCCAGATGGGCGGCCCGTGGGTGGGTGACTCCAACCGTGTCTCTCTGTCCCTGCAGAAATTTATCACACCACCTTTGATTGGCCCCCCGAATTTGAAATCCAGAACCGACTGATAGTGCCAGAAGGCATCTCGGAGCAGGAGACGGCGCAGAAGCTGATGGCGTATCACAGGAACATAGTCAGTGTCCTCCCCTCGTACCCCAAAATCCTGAAGGTCATCAGTGCCGACCAGCCGTGCGTGGACGTCTTCTACCAGGGTAAGTGCAGCGCCCTTCGACCTTTCCCCTGGTGCTACTTGATGCAGCAGTGGCCAGTGCCCCGGATGTGCTCGGGACCCCGGGGGTCAAGTCATAGACGGCCCGGGTTTCCTGTGGGGCACCTGGGAGCGCCCCTCTGGCAGACCCTGGGCTGACGTCCTGCGCTCCGTGTGGTTGGCAGATTCGACAATGAGGGGTGTGGGGACAGGAGACTCGAAGGACAGCATGGGAGGGACATGGCAGCAAGAAGTTTTGCCCCAAGGGTGACGGAGAAGGAAGAGAAAATTTATGAACACTAAAAATACAGCAACAAAATCCCACCGCCACTGCAAAACCCCAGAACTACAACATAACCGAAGTGTCGTGAGTCCATTTAAAAACCGACTGAAGTGGGCAGGTGTGTGTGGGGGATGTTGAGTCTCGAGACTTTGGAGCCAGGTGACCTGTGTTCAAACCTGAGCCCCACGCACCCCGCTGTGCCGTCTTCGGCAAACTCTCTTAACCTTCGGGGCCTCGATTTTGCCATCCCTAAAATAGGAGCAAAAATCGTGGCTCCCCACAGGCCCGAGTGAGGGCGACACGGGATTCTGCACATCACCTGCCCACAGCCGCGTGCCCTGTGCCTGGTGCCGAGAATTGGCTCAATACACAGCAGACATTATTGCTCTTGTCATGATTTGTCATCCTGCCCCAAAGGCCAGGGAAAGTTACAGTAATTCTACCCCAAAGCAGCTGAATTAGAATATTTTTAAAGTCCAGACGCTGTCTCGTTGCCTCCGAGGCTGGTTATCTCCTTCGTGCAATGCCAGGTAAATGACGCAGTAAAAACACCACCAGACGTTTAAGTCACTTGGCAGTTTACCTGGGCTTTTCCTTGTACATTCTCTTAAATCTCTTCAAGAGAAGCTTTGTTTGCTGGGGAGGCGGTTCTGGGCCCCCGGGCTGGCCCCACCTCCCCGTGCACCTGTGTGAGCGGCTTTGCTCTACCCAGAGCCTGGCGATGGCACAGAAACTGCTCAGGTGTCACGGGAACTCTGTCAGGGGCCCTGTGTCTAGAAACTGATGCTTTGAAAACTGCCAGGCTTATGGGTGGCTTATGATTTCCCAGCGATTCTGCCTCTCAGAAGGATCTTTAGCAGCAAACACTGCGCTCTGAAGAGAAATAACCGCAACATTTCTCTTATGCCACGAGTCTGGATCTACACATTAATTACTTCCAAGTTACTTAATTAAATTTAAAAGTTCATATGATCGTTCATAAAGAATTCATGCCCGGAATTGTAAATAAAAACGTGAGTGTCTGAATATATTAATTATTATTAATTAATAATGCAGAGAGATAAATTGAAAATTGGAATGCAAAATTCTCTCTGTTGTTTTTTTTTTAATCTCTCTGCAGTGCATCCAGCAACCACATATTTTTAAAAAGAATAATTAGATGCCGAGACTGTCTGGGGGATCATTACTTCTAATTAACTTTGTTATTTACTGTAAATTAAGCGTCGTTTGTAAGCAGGCCGCTTTGCCTGTAGTATTTGTGTGCTTCCGATATGCCGACTATGGCGATTGAGAATAAAGAGGGCCTTGCTCGAATCGCTTCCTCCAGGTGTGCCACCGGCGGAAATGTCACCTGTGGTGGCAGGTGGGGAGAGTTGCCCAGCCCTGCCGACTCTCTGTAAACGGGGGCGAGAGTGACACAGCCCTCGTGGGACTGTGGGCTGAGCCAATCAGATAATGCCTGAAGCGTGTTTAGTTACCAATGACTGCACGCTTTCGGTGATGGCCATGGTCACGCGCTCGAGGACCGCCTGTCACTTCTGCCTCTAGCTCTAAAAAAGAGGGCACTTGTGGTGTCTCTCCTGACCCTGCCATGAAAAAGCCCTACAAAGATTTGAGGGTCGAAATCGATTTTGCCCCCCACAGGGGACATTTGTCAACGTCTAGGGACATTTGAGGTTGCCGTGCCTGGGAGGGTGCCTCTGGCATCTTGTGGGTAGAGGCCAGAGATGCCGCTCAAACACTACAATGCACAGAACAGGCCCCACGACAAGGAGCCGTCTGGCCCTAAATGTCGAGAGTGCGAAAGTGGCCAATCCTGCCACACCTGTCACTAGTTTCAGGGTGGCCGGGCTCCTGACGGCCATGTGTTGGCTCGGCCCTTGTCCAGGGTGGAACCTGCCTGAAGGCAGAAGGTGTCACAGGGCCACCCATGACTGGCCTTGGCTGCTGGATGGTCTGGGTCCCTGGCAGGAGAGGGGGCTAGAGAGGGAGACCCAGATGTGGGCAGCTGGGGAACGGGCACGGCCTCGGCCTCAGCGGCAGGCAGCTCCCCTTGTCAGGTGCCTAGTGGCGGCCTTTTAACGGCCTCCTCAGCCTGCTCTCACCCCCCCACCCCCCACTCCGTGCTCGGGTCGGAGGTGACCTGGTCTGATGTTCAGTAGCTTTTGGCAGCCAGTGCCCCCACTGTGCGGCCACCGCAGTGCTGTGACGCCCCGCCCCGTGGACCCACCTCTGTTCGTCACGTGCCAGGGCACAGCACGGGCCTGGCCCTTTCCCGCGACCTGTCTGCTGGCCGCCTCCTTGCAGACTCACAGCAAAGTCGGTGTCACCAGCGTGCAGCTGCGGATTATTCTCCGTCAGTTCCCGAGTCCTTTAGAAGTCCCCGCAAGCTGGGCCCCCCGCGTGGCCTGATGTGGGTATCAAAGCCTGTCCCTGCCACTAGGAGGCTGGTCTGGTCCCCAGCTTCAGGTTAGAGGCTCGGCCTCCATTCAGATGGGAACTATGCCCGCCCAGTGGTGTGTCCTGTGTCCCTGGACCTGCCCTCAATACACCTCCCCCCAACCAGGAGAGGAGCACGGATGCCCACACTGCTCTAGAGGAGTCTGGGGCGGTGCCCCGGGCGGCTTCCGTCCACCTCGCCGCCCCTCCGCCTGGGCGCCAGGCCTGAGGCGTACCCGCTCAGCAGCCGCAGGGAGCGGCAAGGGTCTCCGTGCAGCCGTGAAGGAGAGTTAGGGTCCCGCGGGAGGCGGATGGGCAGAGGTGCTGCGTGCTGCTCCCCTTCTCTGGGGCGCGGTTTATCACCCTCTCATCCTCTCTCTCCAGCTCTGACCTACGCCCAGACTAACCATCGATCCAACGCCCCGTTCACCCTGAGGGTGCTGCTCCTCGGGCCCAAGGGCAGCGGGAAGCGTCTGCAGGCTGCCCTCCTGGCCCAGAAATACGGCCTCGTCAGCGGTGAGTGCCCGCAGCTGCCCTGCTTCCAGAACCTTCCCCTGCCGCCTGCCCTCCCAAGCACTCCTGCTTGATGGGGGCGGTGAGAACGAGACCAGTATCGCTTCTCTTTCTTGCTCTCTGCTCTGAACAATTTCCAGTTAGCCCATCTTCGCAGAGATGAGGTCTTTTTCCTCCTGAAGAATATTGCCATAGAAGCATCGCCAGTGAAAACAAGTCCGCAGCCCAAAGAGCAGAACAGTTTCTTGGCGTCATGTTTGTACCCGTTGGAGAGGTGGCTCCCTGGGCTCTGCACCAGAGCGGCTTCCACCCAGCCCCCGCCGTGTCCTGAGGCCGCAGCTCCTGCAGAAGGCCACCTGCTGCTTGTTCATTTTCTCCCCATCCCAGGTCAGCGTGTTTGCAGGCAGACAGTGTCTGAACTAGGTGTTTACAGGCAGACAGTGTCTGAACCAGAGGAAGATTTCTTGCTTGGCACAGTTGCAATAAATATTTTACCAGGAGGAGAGAAAATATTGAAATCAGTTCTCCAGGTCTTTCCCAGGGCGGTCTGAGTGGTCTCAGATGCCAGCCTGTCTGCAGGAAGGTTAAGGGCTGGGAGGGGGGACGGAGCTGGGGCAGGCACAGCACGCTGGAGGGAGTTAAAGGGCCCCCCATGCTCCGTAAGCCTAAATAACCTCTACTTTGTTTACTAAGCAACCACAAGATCTGTACCCCACATGCATAAATATGCATATATGTTCTCCCAAGTTGTACATGCACACCATGCAAATACATGTACACACACACACACACAAATATATGTATACCGTCCCAGAAGGATCAAGCTTTGAATAAAAATGTTTTTCAATTAGGCCCCCTACAACGTACGATTCCAAAGCCACTGAGACTAGCCAGGAATCAGTGACAAAAATCATACCCATGAGAAGAAGACGGAGAACTGAGCAGTTATTTTGATTAGCTTAGAAAATTCCTAATAGTAACAATATTAGTATTTTACTAAAAATACTAAATAGTAGTATTCTGATTCGGTTAGCATAAAAAAAAATAGTCTGGACATTTTAAGATAAAAAATATTTTTGCTTGCCTTGACGCTTTTTTTTTTTTTTACGTATTCTTCAGATAATTTCTGCTCTTTTGATTTTCCCGCTTAAGGGCATTTTACATTTCCAGCTTTGGTGTAAGACAAAAAAAAAATAGTCTGGACATTTTAAGATAAAAAATATTTTTGCTTGCCTTGACGCTTTTTTTTTTTTTTAGGCATTATTTTTTAAGCATTATTTTTTTTAAGCATTATTCGGATAATTTCTGCTCTTTTGATTTTCCCGCGTAAGGGCATTGTACATTTCCAGCTTTGGTGTAAGACGATTTCTTCGTTAAGAAGGAGCAGCTGTCTGCTCGTAGCTCCGCCCACACGTGTCACATGTGGACCTTAAGTCCGTGCGCTTCCTGTCAGGTGAAGGGACAGGAAGAGTTACCGTGAGGACAAGCTCCAAGGCACGGGAAGGGTCGGCAAGTTAGCAGCAGCACCTCAATACGGGGCACGGCTTTATCGAGACTGTCGTCGCTGTGTCATATTTTATGTGGACGCTCTCCTCCGAGAATAGCAATTTTTTTAATTTAAATTGTTTCAACACACCAATCATGAAGAAATGAAATTACCAGACTAGATCTTTCCAAAAATGAGTATAGAAAAGCTCGTCGTGGTTTTTGCTTTGTAGCCATAGGCATTTGGGGGCTCTCTGCAATCATTGAGCGTTTGGAGACTAACTCCGAAAGTTCTCGTTTCTCAAAGGTGTTCTTGATAAATACAAGACATCGTGAGATTTCAGTAAACCGATTTAGGGGCCCTACCATCGACAGAGGCAAGCACTGCGTTGTCCCCTGAGTGTCTGCAGAGGCCCATCTGCACCCAGAGCTCCGGGAACTGCTGCCTCCACAGCCAGGGTCCTCACATGCCCTGGCTGGGTTGTCACCTCCACTCCAAGGACCTCTCCGTCCTGGGAAAACGTCTCCCAGCGAATGAACAAACAACCCAACGTTCACTCCAATAAGGTTTATTGAAAGACTCCCGTTTATGCTTGGCGGGAATATAAACGGGCACAACTCTTTGACAGGAAGGACGCTATCGATTAAAATGCTAACTGCAAATCCTTTGGCCCACTGATTTCACTCCTAGGATTTTATGCTACAAAACATTCACTCATTTATGCAGTAAGAGATGTGAAGGGTGCATAGAGACAAATAAAGGCAACCCTAAACTCTGTTCGTGAGGGGGTCAGTTAAGTAAGTTACTTACAGTAGACGCGCACCATGGAGTACTTGGCAGCTGTAGGAAAGAAACTCTGGAGTGACTTCATGTCTGTGATGTATTGTGAAATGGGGCGGGGCGGGGCAGAAAGCAAGTCACTCAGCAGTGTTCAGGGCCCGATTTCGTTTTTTGTTCAAAACAGTATGTTAGTATGTGGTTCAAAACATCTGAAGGAACATCCATGCGCCAAGCTGGTTATCTCTGTAGAGTGGTATGTTATACAATTCTGATTTTTTTTGTTTTTTGCAATGAGCATGAATTTTCTAATTAGAAACAGCTGTGGAAAATTTTATTAAAATATTAATATTCCTCAGTGAGTGCCTGCTGTATGCAGTGCACTATATTGGGTACACAGAGAGGGCAAATGTAAAAAAAGAGAGAGAGAGAGAGAGAGAGAGGAACTTAAGGGCCCAGGCTTGGGATGGGGAATGGGGGGTGGGGGTGGGGGATGGGCAAAGAGCGGGGGGCTGATCCCAGCCCAGTTCCACGTGTGACTGATGTAAGAACGAACCTTTAAGGGAGTGAGACTGTTGCTGCGTCTTCTTTACAGAACGTTGTAGAGTGTGCCGGTCGCAGGCGGGTTTTAAACCATACTCTGCTGATGCATACGCTCAACGTTACTCATTTTCCTCTAGAAACGTCTTTAGCTGTATCTCACAAAGGGTTAACGTGCGCTGGTTTACCATGCGGTTCAAAATATCTCGTAAGCTCCCTCGTGGTTTCTTGCCTCACTCAAATATTATTTAGAGATGCGTTGCTTGGTTTCCAAATATTTGAGAATTTTCCAGATTTTTTTTGTTGTTGTTACGGATTTCTTATAATTCTGTTGTGGTCAGAGAACATACCCTATATGATTTCGATCCTTTGAAATTTATCGATACTTTTTATGGCCCAGCATACGGACTACGTTGGTGACTTCCGTGTGCACTTGAAAAGAATACGTATTCTGGCATCGTTTACAGTGTTGTAAAATGTTAGTTAGGATATGATGTTTGATAGTGTCCTTAATGATTTCTATTTATTATTTCATTTACTGAGAGAGCTGCGTTAAAATCTCCAACTCTGATCGTGGATTTGCCTGTTTCTCTGCCGGTCTTTCTTCCATGTAGTTTGAAGCTATGTTGTTAAGTGCATATACACTAAGGATTGTTACGTCTTCTTGATGAACTGATCCTTTTATTGTTGAGAAATGTTCCTCTGCCTCTCTAGTAATACTTATTTTCTTGAAGTCTACTTTAATATTAATATAGTCACTTTCTTATGATCAGTGTCTGTATGGTGTGTCTTTTAAACTTTTAAACTATCCGTGTCTTATATTTTAAGTACATGTCTTATAGACAACATGTAGCTGGGTCTTGCTTTTTCAAAAATCCAGTCTGACATTTTCTGCCTTTTAATCGAAGCATTTAGTCCGTGTCCATTTAAAGTAATTTTTTATACGCTGATTTCAAGTCTGCCGCCTGTGTTTTTGGTCTTCCTCTCGTGTTATCTGTTCTTTGTTCCTCCTTTCCCTCCAAATTGTGGATTCGCCAGATATTTTTAGTGATCCGTTTTGTTCCTCCATTGCCTCCTTTAGCTTCGTCTCTGCCTTATCTTGTCAGCGGTTGTTCTGGGGATTAAACATGCAGCCTTTACTCGAATTAATGTTCCAGCTCTCCACGTAGAACACGCGGTCCGTGCAGCAGTGCGTTCCCGTTCTTCTTGCTCCCGTCCATTGTGCTGTCGTTGTCACACATGTCACCTCTACACATGTTATAAACTCCACAGTACATTACAGTCATTTCTGCTGTAAGTAGTCTTTCTTTTAAGTCAAGAAACGTGGGGGAGAAAGGCTTTTATATACAACCACATATCAACACGCTTCATTCCTTTGTGTGGATCCAGGTTCCCATCTATCATTTTCTTTCAGCCTAAAGAACTTCCTTTAACATTTCTTGTAGTGCAAGTCTGCTGGTGACAAATTCCCTGAGCTTTCATCTGTCTGCAGATGTCTCTATTTCCCCCTCATTCTTGAAGGGTGTTTTTGCCGCCTATAGAAATCTCCGTGACAGGTTTTTTTTTTTTTCTCTCGTCTCCCTTTAAAGGTGTCATTCCATTGCCTTATGGCTTGCATTGCTGCTGATGAGAACTCAGAGCTAATTTTCATCATCGTTTCCCTATAGATAAAGCAGCTTCTCCCCATTCTGGCGGCTTTGAATATTTTCTCTTTATCTTTAGTTTTCAGAGACTTAACTATGATGTATTAAGGTGTGGTTTACCTTGTGTTTATTCTTCTTGGGTCTCAGAGATTCTTGGATCTATGGATCGCTATTTTTCATCAAATTTTGGAATTCTCCTGCCATTATTTTCTCTCTCTCTTCTTTCTGGAACTCCCGTCACACGCGTGTTAGGTGCTCGATGTCGCCCTCCAGTTCCCTGAGATCCTGTCCCGGTTTCCGGCCCCTCCCCCACCTCTCTCTTTCTTTCATTCCGGATACTTTCTGTGGCCATTTTCCTTTCTTCAAAGTCACAGATTGCAGCCCATCCAGTGATGTTTTCCATTTAGGGTACTGTCGATATTCCAGTTATAGAGTTTCCTTCTGGTGCTTTTTTTATACTTTCCATTTCTCTGAGATTCTTCCATCTGTTCACTCATTTTGACTATCTTTC